GGAGACTCTGGATGAGCTGATGAGGACAAATGTGTTAATTCAAGCTCGTTTGGACAAGAAAGATGCTAGAGCTGGTCGATATGATGCATCTATCACTTTGCTTTCCAATATGATGAGGAACTTCATGGTCGTGGTGTTGCCTCCTCCTCCTCCACGGAACCCTTAGACCTTATTTTAGCTTTGTTTTTAGAATTAAGATGTTTTCTATATTTATAAAACTTTTTGTAACTTAGTCTTTTGGTTAATGAAAATGTTTTTTTGCATTGTCTCTATTAAATCATTTTGATTTATGACAAACAGGGAGAAAGTGATATGATTTTTTTATATCTACTCTCAGAATTTGTTCTCAGTCATTTTATAATGTTTGTGCCACTAACGTTGTTTGACTCAGGAACTTTGAGAAAGTTCACTAAATTTTCCAAAACACGCATACTTGGAATCTCTGAAGGAGATTCAGAAGCTAGAGATACATAAGTCATGGGTTGTAAATCTTCTGTTAGTAGAATAATTCAATCAAACTCTGATGGTCTGTCAATACTCTAATGACGAGTGACAAAGTCCTACAATGCTCTGATATCATCATCCAGACTCTAATGAAGTTCTAAACAAGTAAATCCAGACAGTGATACAAGGCCCTGATACCATCAACCAGAATCTATACACCATAGTATTCTTAAAGTAAAGCTAGAATCTGAGATGAAGATTTCTGCAACACTGTTCAGACTCTGATGGTAAACCAGGTCAGATACCTTATCAAACTCTGATAGCAAGCCAAAATTTGAGATGAAGAGTTCTGCATCACTAGTTATAAGTGTGATATGTCTTCAATCAGGGAAGTATTCCTTCATTCTGATTGATTCATGTTATTTCTCAAAACTTCTTTAAGTCTTGAACTCAGGGGGGGACCTTGAACAAGATTAAATAATTTCTAGGAATATAGAACATAGGGGGAGCTGCTTAGCTAACTCTGAAATTGTTTTATGTGATTAAACCATTATAAATTGTTTATCAAAATACATGGTTTTGTCATCATCAAAAAGGGGAAGATTATAAGAACAATATTTGCTTTTAAATCTAGCCTTGAGTTTTGATGATAACATTACATGGGTGATTAGGTAACAATTTTAATACCCTAATTGTCTATTTAATGTGTAAATTTTTCTAACAGGTTATGACTCTGAAGAAATGATGTGTGACAACATCAGATTTTGGACTCAACACACTGAAGAATACAAGTTTGTGTTTCATACTTTAGAATACGTCTTAAAGCAACGGTTCTAACGAACAATATTTTTATTACTTCCAATTGTAACTCTATTCTAAATCTTATGATATATTATCAAGCTCTATGGATTTCATGTTCTCTTTCCCAAGTTCTGATGATTCTAAAGACAAGGTTCTGTTGAACGAGTTCTGAAGATTCTGAAGACCAACAATTCTCTAGACCAACTTCTGAAGACAAGGTTTTGTTAAACGAAGTTATGAAGACTCTAAAGAAAAGGTTATGAAGACTCTGAAGACCAAGTGCTGAAGACTCTGAAGACAAGGTTTAGGTTGAACAAGTTCTGAAGACTCTGATGACATAGTTTTGGAGACTTAGTTTTTTATCCTTCTTCACATGCTTCAACTATTATACATCCAGAAGGCTCTGAAGATTAGAAGAGAAGATCAAAAGGTTTCATGTAAGTAATAGTACAAGGTACAATATCACCTCGCCTCCACTACGTTAGTTTTGTGGTGCAAGGACATTACTTTTATACTAGGTTATCTACCACTCTCTCACTCACCGTTGCAAGAAGACAACTAAAATTTTGGTATTTCTATTCTAATCTTCAACGAATTTCTTTTCAACTATAAAAGGAAGACTTGGAAGAATTGTAAATATGGAAGAACTTTGAAGAAACTCACCCTTATTCAAGTTGTTGAAACGCTGCCAAAATAACTCTGATTTTTGTAAAGCAAGGAGTTGTTGCTCATTAAGTTTCTAGCAAGGAACTTTTGTTTGTTAACTTGCTTAACACTTTTGTGTTATGAAGGACTCGCCCAAACTGAGCGACTCACCTCCCACTAAAAATGACTACAACAAAACAGAATAACGAGGAGGCGAGCTATTAAGAAACGACAATGACTACAGCATAAAAAAAAAACTAAATTAGAAAAAAGAGAAGTGATTAACTTAAATTTAATTATTGTTTAAAATAAACAACAAATCCATCTTTTAAATTTCTTTTATATGACTTTCTAAATATCACAATTAATGACGAGATATATTTCTCCTTACTTGGTCATTGAAATATCACCTACTTCAATTATCTCAAAATAAATATCTCATTTAATATAAAAATTTGTCTTAAAATATTTGTTATTGTTATTTTATATTTAATTTTTCAATTATACTTTTTAATAAATATTTTTAATTTATTATTTTTTCACTTAAAATTAATATTAATTTAAATAGATCAATAATTAATTAAGATAATTTAATAAAATCATTATTTTTTTTTATTATTGTTTTTTAATCTTGTGTAAAATAATCAAATGTAATAAATAATACCTGACAGAGAGACAGTGCGTCATTCATTCACACTTGTCTGCAGGAATAAACTTGTAGAACAAAATATTTATTCCATGTTTCGACAATGATATTTGTTTAGTTAGGAATATATAATGGGAAAGGAGAAATATAATATTAGGAAAAAGTGATGACCGAAAGTGGATGTGTGTATATATTAAAAGTAAAGAATTAAACCTGCAAAATAAAATATTAATCTACCAAAGTTTGAACCATGTGCATATAAGTGAGCTTTCTTACCAACTAAGCTAGACATCTTTCAATAATTAATCACCATGTTATAATTATTTTTATAATTTTATTTTTTTAATTGTCACATGGCTGTACATGTCTGCGGGAATTAATAAACAATAAACAATTTAGTAGTAGTTCTTTGTTGAAAGTCATATTGAATTTGACAGGCTTTCTTGTCTTCTTTAATATCCAAACTTATCTCTTGGAAAAGTAATGACCAACAACATTGGATGTGTCTATATATTCATTTGTATGTGACCATCAACATTCATCAATATTCATACAAAACTTGCAAAAACATTCAATTCATACAGAATTAACAAAAACATTCATACAGAAGTAACAAAAGTGTGATAATGGCAGAAGGAAAAGGAAGAGTTTGTGTAACAGGAGGTACAGGTTTTATTGGTTCATGGATTATCAAGACACTTCTTGAAGATGGTTACACTGTTAATACCACTGTTAGAGCTGATCCAGGTAAAATATTAATTTCTACTATATTTTCAATATTAATTTGTATTATCTTCTTAATATTGTTTTTCATTAAATTGTAGAGAAAAAGAGAGATCTTAGCTTTCTCACAAATCTTCCGGGTGCATCTGAAAAACTAAAATTTTTCAACGCTGATCTTGACGATCCTGAAAGTTTCAATGAAGCAATTGAAGGGTGTGTTGGAATATTCCACACTGCTGCTTCAGTTGATTTTGAAGAGAAAGAACCAGAAGAAATAGTGACAAAAAGAAGCATTGATGGCGCTTTAGGAATTCTAAAAGCATGCAAAAACTCTAAGACATTGAAGAGAGTTGTTTACACTTCAAGTGCTTCAGCGGTTTATTGTCAAGACAAAGAAAAAGAAAAAGATGTAATGGACGAAAGTTATTGGAGTGATATAGACATTCTTAGAAATCATAAACCATTTGGCTGGGCTTATTCAGTTTCTAAGACACAAGCGGAGAAAGCTGTTCTTGAGTATGGACAACAAAATGGGTTAGATATTGTGACTGTTATACCAACTATTGTTGTTGGACCCTTCATTTGCCCTAAGCTTCCTACCTCTGTTTATGGTGTACTACCTTACTTATTTGGTAACACCGATAACAGTCCAATATCTCGTTTCCATATGGTGCATGTTGATGATATTGCACGAGCTCATATATTCTTACTTGAACATCCTAATCCAAAAGGGAGATATAATTGTTCACCATTCCTTGCAACTATTGAGGAAGTAGTTGACATCGTTTCTTCAAAGCATCCTGAATTTCAAATTCCAAAGTCCAAGTGAGTTTTTTCTTCTATATTTTAAGTTAATGTGAACTTTCTTTGATTGTTACTAATATTATTATTCAATTTATTTTCTTTTTCCCTAGATTGCTTGGGGGACCTAAAGGTCTTGAGCTTCCACATTTAACATCAAAGAAACTCACAGATGCTGGATTTGAATTCAAGCATACTATTGAGGAAACGTTTGAGGATGCGATTCAAAGTTGCAAGGAAAAGGGGATTCTTTAAACCATTGAATTAACAATGTGTTTGATCATAATTAATAAATAATATGTCACTAGACATGGCTTCTTAATATTTGAGTTATTTTGTATTCGAGCTTTAGTTGGGGCTTCTGATGGACGGTGTTTTGTGACTGAGTATTTTTTATAGAGTTTTCTCTCCTTTTCTAGGGTCTCCAAACAACCGAGTTTGAGTGTTTATTTTCTTTTGTCCCTTTTGTTGTACTTCGACATTTGCCTACTTATTTTTGTTGTTGTTTGTTGGTTTTTATTTTTGACTCTTCTTGTGTAAGTTAATATATATATATATTAAATCAATGTAAAGTCAAAATCTACAATCATCCATTAATAAGAGTCGTTCAATTTTGATTTTAACTCTAAAATTCAAAATATTACATAGTTGCATCGAGGTAGAGACTTTTGATTCACATTAAGCAGGAAAAAAAGATTTTTTTAGAAAGACTTCTTCATTCTTTTATATATATATATATATATATATATATATATATATATATATATATATATATATATATATATATATATATATATATATATATATATATATATATATATATATATATATATATATATATAAAGGATATGATAACAAAAAAATTAAAAGAGAGAAACTTTGCTCTCTCTCAAAACTTTTTGTAGCATAATCATTTCATCTTATGTATTTGGCCGACGGAATGGCGTGGACGACAGTCAAAATGAGGGGGTTTCAAAATGTAGCTTCACGATGGGATTCGTTTCCGACAGGGCAGGGTTCGCATGGAGTAGAAGAGAAAATGTTGTCTTCTATTTTTTTGTTCGAGTTTCCAGATAGGATAAGAGCTTCTGATATATTCGAGTTGTTTGGTTGCACCGATGAGGTTATGGAAGTGGTGATTCCTCCTAAAAGAAAAAATTTGGGTAAAAGATTTGGATTTTCTAGGTTTAAGGAGGTGGAAGATTCAAGGGTTTTGGCGATTAAGGTGGATAACATTATGATAGATGGTAAAAAAATATGTGCAAATCCACCAATGTTTGATAGAAGCGTCCAGAACGGAGGTTCCGGGAGGGAGGTTCAATGGGTCTCGTTCCTTACCGAAAGAACGAGAATTCATAAGATGGAACTTTCATTCGAGGGTTGTTGGATCCAAATCATTTACGAAGGTAGTAGGTAAAAAGTCACAGGGGCATTATCAGAAGGAGGTTGCAACTGGAGTTACTTTTCTAAGGAGGAGGATAGAAATAATCTGAAGAATGTGTATGTTGGAGAGATGATCAACCCTGGGATGTTGTAAAAAATTCGGACATGCTTTGAAATGTAGGGATATTTCTCGGTTAAGGTTTCTAATCTGGGAGCGAATCTTGTGCTTCTAGAAGAACTAGAAGAATGTGTAATTTCATGTTTGATTAAGGAAGGAAAATCTTGGTTGAATCATTGGTTTTACAATATAAGGGCATGGAAAGAGGACGATGTTGATAATGAAAAAGTAACATGGATTAGAGTTTTTGGCGTTCCCTATCACGCCTGAAACATGAATTTTTTTGAAATACTTGCGCATTCTTTTGGAACCTATGTGTGTTATGACAAGAATACTCTGAAGGGTACTAACAAGGACATTTCCTGGTTCATGGTGAGAGTTTCTTCTTCTTTTGTTCTGAAGGAATCTTTAAAAGTATTGATAGACGATGTCTCTTTCATTATTCTGATGAGGGAGGATACTTATAGTCCATTATAACTTTTGACGGTTTCAGCGAGTCACAAGGTGACTGAGGACGAATCTTCAGATTCATAGGAGGGGTGGACAAATGGTGGATCCAATGATAAAGGAGAAGACGGTTTTGACAGCCATGACATTTCTTCAACTCAGGCGGAAGAAAACTGGTCAGACGATAGTGAGTTCAAAAGGGGGGTGAACAGTATTGAAGGTGTAGGGAAGGAGGTGATAGGTAGTGCTGATTTTGTTAAGTTTAGTACGGCTGAAAAGATGGCAGTAGGTGGGTCTTTTGATGATTCTATTGGATTGGCAAAGACGTTTTCATTTAGCAGTGGTAACTGTAGAAAGTATTTTTTTGTTTTTTTTCCAAAGGGACTAGAGTAAAGTGTTCTTTAGATAATTCTTTCAATGCCATGAGTGACAATCTTGTGGCCAGAAAGAGGGGGCTAAGAGAATGAAGTTCAAAAGATGTTTTGAAGTGGATGGGCCTTTAAATGTCAAAAATAAAAATAAGAATAAAAAGCCCAAGAAGAGGCCCATGAAGTCCATGAAATTTTTTACCCAAATTTCGGGCCCTAGGGGCGGTCCACCGAAGATTCTCAACCTTCTCTCAACTGGAAGCATTAGATTATTACAGTGAGGGAGTCATTCTTAATCTGTTTTACATGGAGAACAGTCTGTAAATTCTGATATCATCAGAAGCAACAATTAGTTGTGGGAGACTATGGATTCAAATGTTTGGGAGAAATTATGGAAGGTTATCTCAAATCTTAGGGTAGTTGCAGTGGATTCGAAGAAAGACTATAAAAGGAGAATTTATGAGATAGAAAGAGAAGTCGTTTCTAGAAAGTTGGGAGGGAAGGCAATTATCAATCTGTGTTAATGATTATAGGATCATTGAACATAAGAGTGGCAGGTAGCAGTATAAAGAGGAGAAGAATTAGCCATATAGTAATGTAGATTTATTTCTTATTCAGGAAACTAAAATTTTACCTATGCAAGATTTGGTGGCCAAAAGTTTTTAGAGTAAGGAAGACATTGGCTTTCCTTATTAAAATTTGGTGGGGCAATCAGGAGGTCTCTTGGTTATTTGAAAGGTGGATTGTTTCGATGTTTTCTGTAGCTTTAAAGGCGAAGGCTTCTTGGGCGTCAATGTTAGATGAAAAAATTTCACATACTATATTGTTAACGTGTATTTTCCTTGCACGCTAGCCTTGAAACGTTCTTTATGGACAAATTTGTTGAAGATTAAATCGAGACATTCTGACGGAGAGTGATGTTTTGGCCGGGACTTTAATGTTGTTAAGAGTTCTTAGGAGAGAAAAGGTAGGTCGTTGTTCTGTAAAAATCCTGAGATAAAGGAATTTGCTAAGTTCATTAAAGATAGTTCTATTATTGATATTCCTTGCAAAGGTAAGAAGTTTAGTTGGTTTAGTGGTGATGGGAAAGCGAAGAGTAGGATTGACCATTTTCTTCTTTCGGATAGTATTATTAGTAGATGAGGGATGGTTGGTGATAAGTGCAAAATGTAGTTATTTTTGTATATACTTTTTGTTGCACTTATCGACTTTTTGTTATTAATATCGTTGAATAAACCCGACTTTTGTGTAAATACGTTTAGTTTGTGTTTATTTGTATTTTTGTGTATATAATGTATCATTTGATGTTTTTCCATTCATTTTACAGGTATTTTTTGCATTTTGGATCATTGAGGAATAAGGTGTCGAAGGCATAGCTCCGGATGCGTGTTTTCGGAATAAAAGACCAGTTTTAGGACATTCTGTCTATGAGAGCCCGCATAGCGCGCAGAGGACGCTAAGCGCGAGAACCGCTCAATGCATTTTGTAGCGCGTTGTTTACGTTTGACAATTTGGCAGAACCAATGTTTTGAATCCTGCTTAGCGCGGGTAGTGCGTTTATCGCGATTTAGGTCGGTTTGATGTGTAAAATAAGCAAGTCGCGCTTAGCGCGCCAGGCCTGCTTAGCGCGGTCTGTTGAGATTTGTTTTATAACTTTCATTTCAGCTCATTTTTAGGTAAGGTTTTGGGGAAGTTTTTGCTCCCAACTCCATCAACCTGTAAATTTTGTTAGGATTAGCCTAGATAACAACTATGGAGCTTGCATGTGGATGATCCGGGGTGGATTGCTCTTTGATTAGTGCTGACAAATTGGTAGATTTGCGGTTCATTTCTCTTTTTCTTTGTGTATTCTCTATTGGTTGGGTTTGTATGTATATTTTATTTGAACTTATGTATATTTGTTGCCCTTGGTGTTATATTAAACTTTCTTTATGAATCTTTGTGGATTGTTGTCCTGGATTTTTACTGTGTTAGGGATTTGAGTTGTTATAGACATATACTACTTAGATTCTTATCTAGGATGATTATTTGTTAGTTTCTGAACTATAGAGATAGATTTAGAGATGACATCTGCTTGGGTATCAGAGCTTAATACCTCTGTGTTGTTTGTGTCACTCTGAGAGATTGCCTATGCAGGCGAGCACGGTTGACTTCTGTGTTGTTGAGGTGGTTGAGAGATCGCTACCGAGGTGACGCGGTAGGCCTCTCAATTTGGGTTAGAAATGACTTAGGTTGTGAGTGATACATAGTGACATTGATGAATATTGTAGGTTGAGTATAACAGGTCGATAGGTTTAAGTCTTTGATAAGTAGTATATATATGCATGCTTGATAAGTTATTCCTTTTTCCTTTTTATACATTTATTTTCTGTTAATACATTTTCTTTCAACCCATTTATCCCCAAACTTATAAACAAGAAATTTGTCGAACGACGAATCAATAATCAATCTTCGTGGACACGATACGATATAACCTAAATATCACTCGGTAAATTAATAACTTACTTTTTGCTTGCCACTCTATAGAAGCAACAAAATGGCGCCGTTGTCGGGGATTGATTCTATTGTTTTCTTATTGCAATAATTCTTTTGTTTTTGAGTTTTGTAATTAATGTATATGTTGTATAGAAATTGTACAGTAACTTGTATATGATAATTGTGAATATATGTGTTTTTTCTTTGTTTTCACATATTGTTGGAAATTGTCTCATTTTTGTAATGTTTGTTGTGTGAATGTTAGGACACATTCTTTAAGTTTGCACGGTGTGACAATACCATGGCACGATGAGAGAGGTTACTAGCTCGCACAATAAAGACATCGAGCTTACAACGTAAAACAAGCATGTTTTGTTTGTATTTGTTTTTGTTATATGTGACTTGTGTTTTAACAAGTTAAAATTGGACTTGTTTTAAATTTTCAAATTTTCACTTTTCAATTTTTTAATTCACTTTCAACCATTTGTTTCGTTATGTATATTTGTGTTTTTCCGCAAGCTTGTCGCGTGTAGCTTGAGGAAGTTTATATGTTGTGAATATTATATACAATGAGTGTGTAAGGTGATTGTGGAGCTTGCATAGTAGATGCACCAGTTGTTGTCATGTTTTTCTGCAACTGGTGTAGCGTGCTAAGCACGCTCTGTGCCGCTTAGCGCGCTCTGCTTTGCAGAACCAGTGAACTCTTTTTAATTTTTCGCTTGGTTTTTATTTTTCCCACTTCCACCTACGATTTAAATAGTAAATAATATTAGTATAATTAATTCTTTTGTTGTTGTTTGGACTCAATTTTGGCTCAATAGCTTGAACTCGCATTTGGTGATTTTCTAATTTTGAGTGTGTCAACTTGCGGATGCATGGTAATGATTTTGTTAAAGTTCTATAAATGTTCGAGGTATGTGTTTATCGCTTTCTATACTTTAGCATATTCATTATACTTATATTTTTTTACAATTTTTATGTCATTCATTATTTTGTATGCTTGTCCATTTGTGAATCACTTTAGTTCCTACCCTTTTTGTGAGGTATCTTTCCATTGTTCACATATGCTGGAGACCATAACTCTTGTTTTAACTGGATTTTATTATGCTTAATCTTTTGTTTATGTTGATTGTATGAAAGCTTGAACATGATCAAGGCATTTTTGTTACATTTTGAGCACAACTACCTTGGCCAAATAAACAATTCACCTTGTGAGTGTGTGATCATTAGTAACCCCTTTGAGCTTTTTCTCGATATCCATGTTGTATTTGCTAAATGCTTATCTATGGGTGTTTAGTTTCCCTTTTTGCATGGTATTGATTCTTTGTTTTCTTGAACACTCAACTATGATTTTTATTTAAATTTTTACCTTGCCTTAGAAAGTAGGGAGTATTCACTTTAATGTATGGTTGTGTGATACGGTGGGAGAACTGACTTGAAGTTTTGCGTTTCTGTTCGCAAATGTTGCGGTTAGCAAGAGTCGCCACCAACTTTTATTTTATCCAAAAGGAAAGGTAAAAAAGCACAGGAAATACCTTTGAGATGTTTTCTTGGGTTCGGGGGGTAGATTATGAAAAGGGAAGGTGTTAGGACCCTTTTCATCCATAGTTTTCCATGGGCTCTTAGTTACTTGTTTAGATCACTTGCTTTGCTTTTGAAATTGTTTGAAATGGTGCTTTGTGTGGTTTTTGAAAGTATTTTGAAAAGAGGCCATCATTTAGGCAATCTTTGTAATGATTCTCGTTCGTAAGAATGTATACAAAGATGTTTGTCTTTTGAAAAATGTTTCAATGTTTTGAAAGGTGTTTGAAAATGTTTTGAAAATGTGTGTGTTTGTTTTGAAAATAGCAAGGATTGTTTGGAAGAGAGCAAGTAACTTAGAACTATCTACCCTACTCAAATGTCTTTCCTATGCATTTTTATTGCTTTTACGTTGTTGATTTACCATTGATTTGGTAAACAACCCTATCTTTGGATGTTAAACGGGATGGGCGTGGGTCATCGTATGACCATGATAGCAATGTTTCCAAGTATCTTAGCATGTTTGAGGGACCAAGATCATTTGTTTTAGGCAACCTTTTGATAGCGTCATCGAGGGACTATGATCTTTTGTTTTGTTTTGTTTTTCCAAGATACTTTGCATGCATACCATGGCCATTTATTTTAAGGCAACCAAGTGGGTGAAACCCTAAGGGTGCTTGTGTGCAATGTGTGTCATTTTACATGCATTTTGATTGTCTTGGATTAGGTCATTCTATTTGTTTGATTTTGGTCTTATCATGCAAAACCCTAGTTTACTACACAAGTATAAATACGATAAATTGCGTAAAGTAAACTAAACTATTACAACAATTATTATGGGAAGGGGGATACAAGTTTTTGAATGGGGATATTGCACAAAAATAAACCCTAAAATACTATTACAACTCAATTGAATTATTGTGCAAATTAAATAAAAATACAAATAATAAAAATGCAATAAAATGTAATTATGCAAAAATATTTTTTATTTGTTTTATGTATGAGAAAATAAAAATTATTTAAGTCCTA